CCCCCCAAAGTCCATACTTTGTATGGCCACCTTTTGCAGAAATTACAGCTGCCAGTCTCTTGGGGTACGTCTCTATAAGCTCGGCACATCTGCCCTCTGGGATTTGTACCCATTCTTCAAGGCAGAACTGCTTCAGCTCCTCCAAGTTGGATGGGTTTAGTTGTTGTACAGCAATCTTTAAGTCATGCCATAGATTATCAATTAAATTGAGGTCTGGACTTTGATTGGGTCATTCCAAGACATTTAAATGTTTCCCTTAAACCTCTCGAGTGTAGCTTTAGCAGTATACTTAGGGTCTTTTTTCCTACTGGAAGGTGAACCTCTCTCCCAGTCTCAAATCTCTGGCAGATTGAAACAGGTTTCCCTCAAGAATTTCCCTGTATTTAGCACCATCCATCAGTCCTTCAATTCTGACCGGTTTGCCAGTTCCTGCCGATGAAAAACATGCCTACAGCATGATGCTGCCACCACCATGCTTCACTGTGGGGATGGTGTTCTCGGGGTGATGAGAGGTCTTGGGTTTGCGACAGAAATATAGCTTTCCTTGAAGGCCAAAAGGCTAAATTTTGGTTTCATCTGACCAGAGTACTTTCTTCCATATGTTTGAGGAGTCTCCCACATGGCTTTTGGTGAACAGCATACGTGTTTACTTCTGTAAGCAATTAATTTTTTCTGTCCACTCCTCCATGAAGGCCAGGTCTGTGGAGTGCACGGCTTAAAGTGGACCTATGGACAGATACTCCAATCTCCGCTTTGCAGCTCCCTCACGGTTATCTTTGGTCTCTTTGTTGCCTCTCTGATTAATGCCCTCCTTGCTTGTCTCGTGAGTTTTGGTGGGCGGCCCTCTCCTAGCAGATTTGTTGTGATGTCACATTCTTTCAATTTTTTAATAATGGAGTTAATGGTGCTCAGTGGGATATTCAAAGTTTGGGATATATTTTTATAACCCAACCTTGATCTGTACTTCTCCACAACTTTGTCCCTGACCTGTTTGGAGAGCTCCTTGATCTTCATGGTGCCGCTTGCTTGGCTGAGCCCCTTGCTCAGTGGTGTTGCAGACTCTGGGGCCTTCCAGAACAGGTATGTGTATGTGACACTTAGTTTGCACACATGTGGTCTTTAACTAATTATGTGACCTCTGCAGGCAATTGGTTGCACCAGATCTTATGTAGGGGCTTATAGCAAAGGAGGGGCACGCACCACCTTCCCGTTTTTTTTATAATTTTGTAAAACAAGTTATTTTCTTGATTTCACGTCACCCTTTTGGACTATTTTGTGTATGTTTATTACATGTAATCCAAATAAAAATCCATTTTAATTCCAGGTGATAATGCAACAAAAAAGGAAAAATGGCAAGGGGGTGAATACCTTTGCAAGCCATCGTAGCACGGTCATCAGTATAAATGTCCTCATTGCAAGATTTCCCATATATTCCTGTTCTGGTGACAACATTTAGGACTTTCTTCCACTTTTAGGCCTCATTCACACGAGAAACGTACAGCTCCGTGCTGTGTGCGCGGCCGTATCGGGCATCTCCCGCGAATGACAGGTGCTGCGTGTGATTAGTACGCAACCCATGTTCTTCTCTATGGAGTACTCGGCCGTACGCCGCCCTACACGTCCGTGCAGGTGAGCGTACTCGTACGCTGATAGGATGGATCGTGTCTGCGTCCGAGCCGGGACACCCACACCCGTACAGACCTGCACTTGAGGTGAGCGTAGGGGGGGCGTATGGCCGTGTACTCCCATAGAGAAGGACAGGGGCTGCATACTAATCATACGCAGCATCTGTCCTTCCTGGGAGCTGCCCGATACGGCAGCACGGAGATATACGTGCCGGCCTTTTTTCGTGTGAATGAGGCCTTTAGTGATAACGGTCACCAGGACAAATAGAGAGGGCGAATTTCCTTAAATTAAACCTGACTAATTTCTCTGCACTCTATAGTTTGCCTTCAGTTACACTTTAACGACACGCACATAAAATGTAGTAGATCTCATCGCACTCCTGACGGATAAAGCCCAAACGAAAACTGGGGGGTGCCGAAAATGACAGTGAATGCCTCCGCTCATCAAATGCAAAATACTATTATAGTCACTTGCACTCCGTTTGTAGATAGCAGTCAATCTCCTTTATTGGCTGAACATGATGTCACATACACAAAGCTTCGTGTATGTGACATCATGTTCAGTCAAACAAGGAGATTGACTGCTATTTACAAACGGAGTGCGGGTGACTATATGGTATTTTGCCAATGCACATAAAGGAGCAAAGATGCTGACACTCAAATGTGAATGTGTTTTATTATGTTCACAGCAAAAAAAAAAAAGAAGCTGTCAAAAAGTTACAATAATCCCAGCATTTTACTCCTGCACAGCTTTGCAAGCTCGTTATTTCAAAACATATCGGCAGCCTTTGACCCGAGGCTGCCTGGGTAATCACCAGACACTGTTCCTCAGTGTCAGGGCGCCATTTGTTTTCTCCCTCCCACAGGACTCGGAGCAGAGCAGTCTCTGCAGGCGCGCATCGCTCGGTCATTTCCGTACGGCGTCGTCGCGCGGCTCGCCCAGAACTCGGCAATTTCCGTCCCGTCGGGCGGCGCCATTTTGTTTACGTGAGTGGAGCGGCAGAGGTGTCGTACAGGAGAACATAAGGAGTGTGTGAGCGGCGCGGCCATGGACGGGTATGTGTCAGCGGCTGTGTGCTTGTGGAGGGTGGAAATAAGGCTACGGAATAGCCGTAGACGGTACTGTGGTGTACGGAGTGCTCCCGCTTCACCTCACAGCGGCGGGAACTGACGGACATGGCTCGGGGGATGGGTCACCTAAGCCGTGGCCTGGTTGCGTTCAGGACTGCGGTGGCTCGTGACTGGAAGGCGCGTTAGGAAAGCAGGGTGGGAATGGAGGCTGCACAGAGGCCTCCATGTGATCAGGGCCTCTATATGCCCCGGGCTCCTGCTAGTCACAAGAACCGGATGGTAGCATCTGATTAGAGGAGGCTCACACACATCACCTGCCCATACGTCTTTGTTCTCGAGGTTGTTGCATGGGCCTCTCGGTGGCCATTTCTGTTCTAATAGCAGGTGCAGCTGTCAGTGATCAGTGCTTGTCTGTTGTATGACTGGGCTTTTCTTTAATAGGCATACTGCTTTATTCAATACAAGTTCAGTTACCAATAGCAACCAATCAGAATACTTTTATTTATATGGGTCCATTCACATGGCTGCAGAGGTCTGAGCACCGCCAAGAAGGGTGTATTCATGTGCTTGGGAGTCACAGCTGTTTGTGTACTACCATGGCAAGCAGCCTGGGGCTCATCCACACGGCCAGCAGCCTGTAAAAACCAATGAAGGGCTGACATATACCACAGCTGTATACATGTCTGAACGCTTATATGTGTACAGGAACAGATGAGCCCAAGCTTTGTCAGGGCCGGTCATCCTTTCCTGTACACATAAGCGATTGGACTTGCATACAGCCATAATATGTCAGCCTGTCATTGATTTTTACAGGCTGCTGGCCACAACTGCGCACGCAGCTTTGATTCCCGGGTTTAGAAATAAACCTATGATTGAGGGTGTATGGACCCCTGTGGACGTGTGAATGAGCCCCATCGCTTCAACATTGTAAATGGCTGCTATAGGTCAAAGTGACACTAAACTTAGGAATTAAATCTTAAAAATACATTCAAGTACATTTTAATTATCAACAAATGTATCTTTTTTTAATGTATCAAGCAGTAGCCATGGCAATCACAAAGTAAAGATGGGGCACCGGCACTCCAAATAGTAAATAGCGTGTCTTTTATTGATGTGATATGCTGCATTTACTTCAAGAAAAGACACGCTATTTACTACTAATAAGCTACTTGTTTACAAATAAGCTACTTGTTTATTTATAGTTAAAGTAACCCTAAACTCAAAAAAATACTAAAAATAACTTCTATTATATAAACAATGACTGTGCACTTTTTATTTGTCATTGTTCAGCTCCAAAATTTTCTCCAGCTACAACTTCCTGCCAGAGGGTGGCTACTTTTCTTCTCCACGGTCCCTATGGGAGCTGAAAAGTAGCCATTCTCTGTGGTCGTTCATGTGAAGGACTACAACATGCTGAGGGTGTGTCTTCTCAGTCTCAGCCCACAAATCCTCCCCTCTAGAATCAGCAAGGAGCTGGTATTTCTTTAGCCCTCCCACACTAATATATGATCTGTGATTTCTCTCCTGGCTTACCAAGGAGGGAGTGTGGGGGAGGATAGGAGATTCAGCATGTGAGCTGTCACCAGTCTCATGGTTTCTTCTGAGTCTCAGCTCACATGCTGAAACTGGTCACACAGTCACAGAGGAGACAGCTCCTACATTTGCAATAAAGTTGTTTTTCTTTGTAGATTGTTGTAAACTTGATGTTTGTTCTAAGTAGTTTTGATAATTCAGGGGAGATTACAAGCAGTGAAAGTGTCAGTGTGTATAGTGAGGGGGGGAGGAGGCGGCAGCTGTGTGCAGCGTGAGATATTTCCTCTCTGCCTCATGGGAGTTGTAGTTTGAAGACGTGAAAGTGACCAGAATCAAAGTGCACGGCCCTTACTAAGGGGCAGGAAGTGGGCCTGAAAAGAAGACACAGGAGCGAGCACTGCAGACGTTCTAAAAGGATTAAAATAAGACTATTTTAAAATATATAAATAAATGTGGCTTTGGAGAATGTTCATTGTGCAGATGTGTATAAGGAGAAAAAAGCGGAAGATTTTGTGTCACTTTAATGCATTTCTAAGATTTAACTCTTCAGTTTGGTGTCACTTTAAAACAATTGTAGCCGCACACCGGGCCCAATGAACTTACAAGCAGCTGAAGACTCTGCTAACCCAAAAGCCACCTCCCATGGTGTATGCTACCTTTTAAATCCCACAAATGTTTTTTCTTTACATGCGAGGGGAAGTACAGCATTACTTCCAGGTGCCTGGGTTGAAGTGCTGCAGGTTTTATAGACCCCAGAGCTATGGTCACGTTTCCAACTATTTGTCCTACTGACCATACACAGAACCAAGCCAGGGGTTGTGTGTTTTGTAAATGGCTGGGGGTTGGGGGCGGAGATACAATCGTAGCGATAAGGTTTATGAGACCTGTACCGATACCAGCATGTTAACAAGATCATTTATGGAATTAAAAAAATTTGTGTTTATCGCAGGAGGTGGCTTTTGAGTAAACCAAGTCTTCAACTGCTTTAGCACAAGTCAGCTTATTGTGCCTGGAGTTGGCCTTTAAATTATATATACAGGGTTATTCACAAAAGGGTGAAGAGTTTGGAGAAGTGAACAATCTAGGACAACATAGCTAATTTTGAAAAATTCTCCAATTCAGCTCACTTTGCAAATCAACTATTTTGTCCTAGATTGTTCACTTCTGCCTTCTCCAAACTCTTCACCCTTTTGTGAATAACCCTGGTAAACTCTAAAGGTCTGGTCCATTCCATTGCATTAATAAAGCTGGCTCATTCAAATAGGCTGCCCAAAACATGCCACAACTAACCAAAAATCGTGCAATGAAATAGAAACAATGGGCTGTAATTGAATTTCTGGCATAATAGGGTTGCACACCTAAAGAAATCCATAATCGGCTAAAGAATGTTGATGTGGACCCTGTAGTGGAATTTTGGTTTCTCCTTCTTGAAACTTATTCACACAATGCCGCACATTGCTAATGTCCACTACAGTGTCCCCATAAACATTCTTTAACCGACTATGGATTTCCTTAGGTGCACAACCTTGTTTTGCCAGCGATTCAATTACAGCTTGTGGTTTTAGCCACAGATCTGTGGTTCTAATCACTCAATCTGAAAAAGAAAAGCATACAGGTGAAACTCGAATAATTAGAATATCGTGCAAAGTTCATTTATTTCACTAATGCAACTTAAAAGGTGAAACTAATATATGAGATAGACTCATTACATGCAAAGCAAGATAATTCAAGCCGTGATTTGTCATAATTGTGATGATTATGGCTTACAGCTCATGAAAACCCCAAGAACCCCAAATCCACAACCTCAAAAAAGTAGATTATTACATGCAATCAATAAAACAAGGATTGTACATAGAACAATATCGGACCTCTGAAAAGTACAAGCATGCATATGTACTCAGTACTTGGTTTGGGACCCTTTTGCAGCACTTACTGCAATTACTTTTGCACGATATCCTAATTATTCGAGTTTCACCTGTATATTAGTGGGGTAAGGGCACCTCTATAACATGGTACATGAACACTCACAGTCACTTGAATAGACCTCACATTAGAGATGGAGGCATTACTTTTTGGTTGACCCTCGTATTTATTTGTTTTCATCCTTTGTTGCCTCTCAGCATTACTGTTCTTCCTACTCGGTTGGTTTCCATAGTTATCCAAGCCAGTACGATGTGGGTTGGCATGGACACTAATCTCCATCTTTAGCTTGTTGGAAGATGGGGAAGTGCCTGAACAAGGACCCTCAGCAGGTTTTACTTTAAGAATATTGAATATTTTTATTTAAACATATTGTAAATTACTGAATGAGATATTATTAAGGGCCCATTTACACCATAGCCTTACGCATTATGCATGGGATCCATGCAGTTAGCACATGGTATCGCATAATACAGTTCTGTGGATGGCGTATGTTGCACGATGTGCAACACCTCGCATTGCTGTCCGATTAAAAAAAGTAATACATGCACTATATTTTATCACCATACTGCAACACACATTTTTGTGGTGGTCCAATGCATGCTTGCTAGCCTGGAGGGGTGCCATTTAGGATGAATGGCAGTGCACCTAGCATGTGGTACCATGTTTAGCTCAATGTTATGGTGTTATTCAGCCCTTACATGGTAAAGCTTATGAGATTTTAGTGATTTGGTGTACTTATATTTGAAGCTGTGGTTGGTTGCTTTGGGTTACAGCACTCAAGAATAAGAACTATTTTTTGAATTATAATTATGAATTGTGTTTCTACAACAGATCGGTGTCTGTCTTTCTATCTGTATTTTCCCTTTTCATGGAATACTGATAAAAGTGTGCACATTTATCGACTTGACTATTGTGTTCCTATAGCAGGTGCACAGATGCTGTATACACAATGAATGCGCTCACACCTCATTGTCTGACATTAACCTTTCCAATTTTGTTTTTATTTTATTTTCTTACCCAATTTGCTGCATTCTGTGTGGTTGTGTTTTTGGTGAGATGTCTGGAATTGTTCTAAGAGGTCAAATGGAATATTGATTTGGATGAGGCAGAAACTTGATTGCTGTGGTCAGGTTGTATTATGCGTGGTGTGCTCATAGGATTGTCTTTGAGTCATGATTGTAATGTGCATGTGTAGAATGATTTTTCTTTAAAAACGTGAGTAATCAATCAGGCCCACACACTACATGTGTGGGCCTCTTGCCACAAAATCCTTACTCTGTACAGCCTGTCATTCAGCATGTCCATGTATATTTTGTGTATCTCATTGTCTACCACTGTTTTATTTTAGCATGTGCATTTCTTTGTATGGAAATATGCCTACATCTCCCAACAATTATTTACATCCATACTTGTGTGTTGTGTATGCATATACACATCATTGTGTAGTACTCCTGTTTAGAGGTTATAAGTCAGCTCTAGGATAACAAAACTACTTATGAATAACATGGACTTATTGTATTCACAGCACT